TATGATAACGACCAACAGATTTTCTTTTTTGTTTAAATATATATGTTTATTGTTTTTATTTTATTTGATGAATAAGAAATTCTTTGGAAATACTTTGCTATTGAATCTAATAAAAAGAATAAAATTTATTCATGTGTTGACTTTGCAAAAACAAATGAAAATAAACGAAAACTGACAATGGATGTTAGATACTATTTAGTAATAATATTTCTGGTGAGTGAAACTAAATGGTATTGAAAACACAATGTTTTCTTGTAACACGATGTTATTGTTCGAAACTATTGTTTAGAAAAACACTTTCTTATATCGATACATCTGACATTAATATATTAATCACATGGTATTTATTTGAATTAGATCAAAATGGATTATTTCTTAAAATAGATTGCTATAAACAAATATTGCCACAAAGGATAGAACAGATGAATAAGAAGGAATTCATTTTTTATCTGAAGGTAAAATAGGATCAACTTTTGGTTCTCATCGTCTTTTTTATTATGTTAAACAACAAGATAATAGAGAAAAAAACAAAATGATTTAGTTAGTAATTATTTCATAGATTACAACAAAAAGACAACGAATCATTTCCATTTTATTCTAATCTCACTCAACATAAGTTCTTTTGAAAATAAATAAAGGAAACTATATTTTCTCATTTAATTGTTTTACACCAATATCTTTTTACTTTGTTCAATATTTCGCAAAAATCAATAGAGAAGGAAAACAAATTGTGAAGTACCATAATAATCTCTAATGTCTACTTAAAGAAATACATCACTAAATCAGAAATCAAAGCCAGAGGCAAAATCTTGATACATCAACATGACTTCGATAATTAGGAAAACGAGTTCGAATCATTGAATGATAAGCTTGTGCTTTTTCATAAGAAATTACACCATAAATATCAAGAAAGACAAAGTATTTCAATTGTTCTACTAATTGACAAAGATCTTGTTCAAAAACAGTGACTTGCTGAGCTAAATAAAAAATAGTTTACATTTTTGTTTATGAATTATTTCATTTACAAACCAATCGATTCAGATGTGTGTAAATATTTCATCCATCGGTGAAGTAAAACTTTGCGATAATATCCCTCTGGAAGATCTGGTCGCACTTAAACAAACAAAACAACAAAAGAATAATACAGTTATGTTTAGAAAACAACCTAAAATAACATAAGGCTATTTTATTATGGATTTCATATATGTTTTTTGCAAAAAAGTACGAAATTTTGATTTTAAAAAATTTCGAAATTCTATTTTTTATCTACCAATTTGTTAGGAGTATAACTAAAAAATAATTAGATAGAAAAGCTATTCGCTTCACAGGTAAACAATGAACTCAATTCAACTCTGCTCTAATCACTGTCAGTCTATTTCA